CGAGACTCCAAAACAGTGCAGTTCTTCTACAGTTCTTCTCAGCACATTCAATTTCCAATTTCAGTTGCAATAAGTAGGGCCATTCTTTAGGCTCCCCTGGACCTTCACTCACTGCTCCCTGAGTCTCTTCCCCAGAGCAGGGTCATCTCCTGCCAGCAAAGGCTGGACAGGCCTCTGCCAGGGTTCAGGCTTTATGGGACCCCGTTTGCGAGGCCTGTCTGGGCTCCTGTGGAAGCAAATGTCCCATGGATGTGTGTTAAGGAGGAGGTGTCACAGACAAAAGAGACGCTTCCTTCTCTATTTCCCGTAGGGGCTAATGTGCTCACAGCATTCTGTCTCTGTAGTGATGGTTTTTAGTGGAGCTTTCAGGGTTTCTGAGGGGCTGCTGAGCAGGTGGGTTTGGAACCCCTTGTTCAAATGAGCATGATCATGTCTGGGTCTGGAAGCTTTCCAAAGATCAGCCAGTCTTGGAGGTTAAAACGCTCATATGTTTAAACCCAGACAGTTAGCAGCACTGAGCTGAGAGTGAAATCATTCACTAACTGCTTATTCTTTTTTTGTTTCCAATCTTGAACACTGGACTTCAGGATATTTCATTTAAAATAATACATTTCTAAAACCGACAGGCCAAAATAACGTAATTTTAAAAAGCTACTGTTAAATCTTCTAAGTTTTTCAAAAGGGTACTGATAATTTTAATGACTCAATTAAAATACTTAAAAATCAGATGTTCTTTGCTAACATTTGGAGGAAGAAGTGGGCTCGTTGTGTTTTGAGCAGTAAACGGCAAATTTGCAGGAATTGGTGTAATCTGGACTATTCTTGAATTTATCTCCAAACAAAAAAAAGCTTTTTTCTTGGTTTATTGGCGACTATCTTTTACTATTAAAAAAATATATATTTCATGCTGAAAAGTCACTTGATTGCAAGTGTATTCCAACGACTTGAATAGTTTCCTAGAGCGCGCGTTCAACTTGCTGGGTTGGTTTTATTGGCTTTAACAAAGCCTGATTTTGACCAAAAGGCTTAATCACTTATTCTGGATCCCAACCAGCTAAACTGTATTCATCCTGCATCTACATTTTGGTTTAATTGATATTTCGGGGCTATTTACGATCAAAAGAATAGTTAATAGTTGATACAAGAAGCCAGACTCTTGTTTCGATAGAGGGAAAAGATGTGCAATAATCCATTGAAGCTCCTGAATACCAATTCCACCAGGTTATTTCTGCTCATTTTGGCCGGATTTTGAATTGTCGTTTTTTCCGTAATGTTTTAAAGTTAAGCCTGTCAGTGACTATTTTCCTTCCGTTAAAACCCGGAAAAGGCATAGAAACTTTATCTTTCTTGCAATGGACAGTAAACATAAATAAAAGGTTTATAAAAAAAAGATATTCGACATTTTTCGTATGTTTTTAAAAAATATTTTCAATTATGCTTCAGACTGTTTTAAATTCCACGTTGTTACGGTTTGTATTGATTTTTATTTTTAATTGATATTAATTTATTACTATATTATTGATACAAATGACGAGTGTGAAATATATTTCTGAACGTTATTAAGGATCATGGTGTGATAGGCAGGGGTTAAATAAAGGCATGATCTGGGAAAAACCCGCTTAACCTTGTTTTTGTGTTTGGACTAAGCTTAGCCATTTTACCTGAGCATAACTGGGCCATGATTTGGAGACGATAACAAATTCCCTTTTGGCCGTAGTCTGCGATTCTGACAGGCAAGCGTAATTACACTGCAAACGCCATGTTAACATGCTGTGGTTTGGGCAAAGAAACCAAACCACAGCATCCATTTTTCATCGCACTGAACTTAAAGGATACTAAGGTACTCCGCTAAAGGTTTTGTTCTCCGCGTCTCTGCTGTTTTAGTGTTTAACATTACGCGCTCACGAGCGTTTTCACCCAAAAGAGGCCAAAACCTCGAAAACTATTTCTTCCTCTCACTTCTGGTTGTTCTTTATTCATTTTGCGATGGCGTTTTTTTTAATGTTACGGTTCTTTTGTGCAGTTGCGCAGCTCCTAATCTCGGCCAAACCGGAAAGACGAAAATCGTGTCTTAGCCAAAGTGTCAGATGGAGAAAGTGTGTTGTGGAGGTGGTGTGCAGCCTGAGCCCAGCACGCCCCCGGTGCGTGGACGGGATGGGTGTCCCTGCAGCTCTCACGGTCTTTGTTTTCAGAGGAAGCCGGAAAAGGGCCATCAAGGCAACGGAGATCCAAAGAAAGCCGGCCCAGGGCCGCGGCTTCAGGCAGTTAAAGTTTAACCTGGAACATTTACAGGGAGGAAGCGGCCGGTCCAGGTACTCTAAACAACTAACTGAATAGTTTACAGAGGTCACGTGGGGGTCAGTGAAGATCTAGCCCACATTTCACTGTGCTCTAGACTTCATTTGGAAACTTAACGTTTTTCCCCGCACATTGGACCTCGGACCGCTTTCTTTAAAATTATATTTATATATTGAAAATATATATTTTCTACAATCACTGGCTTTATTTTTTTAATTGCAATGCTTTGCTTTATTATTTGAATAAAGCAATGAAAGCAGGCCGCGAGGTTTATGGCCTAAAAAACAGATGCGCTCTTCATCATATCCGCTGAGTTCATTTAATTTAACTTCATCGATATTTGTTCGAATTTGTTCGAATTTTCTAATATATATATATATATATATATATATACACGAGTACGCCATGCATCTTTATATATATATATATATATATATATGAAGAAGCATGGCCTACTCGTTAAAATGGTAATACATTTGTTTTTTTTAAAGCAGGGGTCTTGTTTTGTTCCCCATACTCGTGTAAATGAGACTTCATCTTGCAAAAGGTGTTTGATTTGGACTTCATAGAAACTGGAATATAGACAAATGGTATCTATCAAAGAAACCAACATCTAACCCTAACCCTCCAGCGTTTGCGCACAGAGGCCGGACTTAGAATGTTGTTGAATCTCAGTCTAAAGAAAAGGCTGTTGTTTTCCAAACGGTCAGACAGGGTGGTTTAGCAGTGTCCGGGCACAGACCCGGATCCGTGGTCGTTAAAATGGTGACATTTGCCGCATTGCGAAACCGTTTCTACGCATTTCGTGTCATTCTGCACCAAGACTAGGACGGGGCTGTTTCTGTGTCCGCAGATCGTCTGTGGGTTCAGTTTCCCTTCTTTCTCTAGCCATCAGCCATCTACTTTTATCCAAAGATATTCCCTTCTGGTCACCCGAAAGGAAATAATTCACCCACATCCCACACCGAGCACGAGGTGTCCGTTTCCATTGGCTCCATGAAACTGATTCATATTTCTGACATGGCCACGAATCACAACGGCTCTCTCCCAGCCAGAGAGCAGATAACCAGTCAAAGTCTTCTTTTAAAGACATGTTTTCACTGAGAGATGAAACTGAGGCGCAGCTCAAACGATGTTCTACAGAAATAAGATACAAACAATAATCAAGAATACTTTAAAAACCAACAAACGCGCTAAGGATTCAGGGTAATATAATCCTAATTGAACAGTAATACTATTGGTATATCATTCGTACTAGCTTTGGGTGAACTTTGTAACGTTCTGGGCACGGGCTGAAGGAATGCTTCCAACAACAGAGCTCTCTTTGGAAAGGCGCGGCCGCTCCAGCAGACGGCCACAGAGAAGCGTGGACCAGAGTCTGGAATCTGCCGTTCTTTCTGTGATTCTGGAGCTGGAAAACAGTCGAACGGGGCAGGGAGGCTGAAGGGTAAAATGGCGGCGGGGAGAAGGAGGGAGAGACGGAGCAGCTCTCCCCACTAGCAGCACTCCGTGAAGAAACGCAATAAATTCCTTGTTGTTTTATGAAAATTTACAACTTTGTGATACAAGTTTATGAGTGGCCGCGCGTGGGGATTGGACGACTGGCTGGTCATGTGAACGCGCTTAACGTGAACATGAACTTTTTATGATTTCCCAAGTGGCTATATTGCTGCCTCACTCCTTTCTGGCCCGAACAGGCGCCTTTCAGCCCCGCTTTGCCCGGGCTCAGGACGCCTCCGCCGCCCGCACATTCGCTCTTTGTTTCCGCAAAAGCGCGTCGAAATGAGCACATGAGGCTGAGGAAAACCGGTAAAGGGAGATGTTGGGAATAGCCAGCCCCCCTCCTCCTCCTCTATCTCATCCTCCGCGCGCTCTTCCTCGGCCGCTATGGCTCCTTCTCCCTGTCCTCTGCGCGGGGAGGACAAACCACAGCCAGACAGCCGCGAGGAGAGCCCTGCCTGGAGGAGCCAACCCGGAAACTACCTCACCGTTCTCCCTTTGCATTCCACCGTAACCGTCCTTTATCTGTCGCCGCCGGTGCGGTGCTGATGGGGGGAGGATGACGGGAGGGGGGGACCGTCGGGGACCCGGAGGTGACAGCGGCCCGGGCTCTCTGCTCCTCCTTCGGCCGAGTCCTCACGCGCCCGTCCTGCTCTGTGCCGTCTCGTGGCAACCCGAGCTGCCTCGCTGCACGCACGCGGAACTCGACGAGGGCTGCAGGTGTGATTTTCCCGGGATGAATTACCAACAAGCGGTAAGAGCCGTTCGTGCGCCTTTTCCCTCCGTTTGGCCCTCCTGCATGAGCATTTGTACAGGAACTGGGCTTTATGTCTTTCTAATGATTCTGGGTGATGAAAACCATTCAAAATCCAGAGAAGCGCTTCACTGGTGAATGGTTTCTACTTCATAGTGTGTGAAATCTGGGACTTATTCTCGGTTCTTCTGCTTTGACGTCAGTGGTGAGCAGGAGAGATCCAAAGCAACGCTAATGAGAATAAAGAAATCTGGGATGTTTGGACTAGAGTTCAGGATTGAATCAGTCACTGCGATGACGTGCTGTACACTGAGTGTGAGCCGTGCTTTGTGAATTACCGGTCGGGGTAGAATCTGTCAGAAGGAGGAGGTTCGGTTCCGGTTCGGTCACTGCGGCTGTGTCATCTGATTTTATTTAAATTACTTTTCTCTCTATTTATCTATTTGTCTTACTCCTGGTCTCTTTCAAAAGCTTTGCAGGTTTTGCTAGTGTATTTACATTCCGCCGTGTGCACGCGCGCGCGCGCGCGCGCTGGTGTGGACAGAGGAATGCGGCTCTGTCCGTCGGTCCTCTCCACTTTTATGACTGTGCTTCCCCTCTCATTTCCTCCCCGGGACTGGGTGGGCTCCTGCGGCCACAGCACAACACCCACGCACGCACGCACGCACGCACGCACGGACGCGCTCGCCTGCTCCACATTTGGCCCCGCGTTACGTCTCTGGTTCCCCAAGTGTTGCTATCTCAAATATCAAACACATCTACAGGGAGGAACCCTCTCATCTCCGAACACGCACGGACATGAATGCACGGGAGTGTGTCCTGATTGGTCGGAGCTAGATTCATCCGAGAGC